CTCGGTCAAACGTARCAATMAAAAAAAAGTATTCTTATTTCCTACTTAATCAAAAATAAATAAATAATAATAATATCATTAAACAAAACGACCGATGGCCGCGTCGGCTTTATAATCAACGATAGAAACGGAATCACGCGCGCGCCTCAAACCTGCGCGCCCACACACTCTCTATTATAGTCAACCATCCAGTCAATGTAAGTCACAGACGCAGCCTCGCCTAGCGTGGTATACTTAAACTTTAAACCAAAACTATTTTCTGTTACTTGCAAAAAAAAAAAAAAAAAAAAAAAGCACGGATACCCATGTAAGGGTATTCGCACCGACAGTGGGTCGACTCACTTGGGAATCTTTCACTACTTGATCAATTCCAGGCAAAAATGGTTAGTCAAAGGAGTAGTCGAGTAGCCCCATGGGAGCACTCAACCACTCTTTTAAGTCCATACAGTCATTATGCAATCAATTATCTCAAACAATCTTATACGGGCGACCGGATAACTTATATGAGAACATTTTTTTATTAGTTAAGCAGCTAGTTAGGAGGCCTATGTTGAATCGTTTCAACACTTGACCCAACATTCAGAAAACAGTCTAGATCCAAGTGTCAATACGAAATTCAAGTTAGTAATAGGTGGTCTTTACGGAAGCCTCCTATTACCCCTTCATTAAGATCTAGCCTATCCTCAAAAAGGTGTAATAGGATGAGCCTACGGGAGTCACCCTACTACGCTGTCAAAGTCAGACGAGCTAGAATCACGTTAGCGGACTCAGGCAAACACAAGGTTCTCCCTTTGCTGGATTATCTTATTAGACATATTAAGATAGAGGCAAGAAAGCAATAGGATGACCCCACGAAAGTCTCCCATTTCCTGCTTCAATGTTCAAATAGATAGGTCGTTAGTAATTAATCATGTCATCCATTAATTATACGCAAACAAGTAGTAGGGTTACTCACCTGGGAGTATCCCTCTACTGCCCAAACACAATCACCTCAGTTCCTTCCCCCCGTTAGTTGATCCCCAAATCAAACCAGTATTAGGATAACCCTCCCGGAAGCCATCCTACTACTAGTTTGATGCGTAGGAGATTAATCAAAACAAATCTTCGTTGAGTCGTCCTGACCGTTCATCTATCTTGACTATGTATTGTAAATGAGCAAAAGATATGCCGATTCCTACGGGAAGTCGGGCATACCGTCCCAGACTTAGGAGTTCGCGTACTCACACGGTGAGTATTTTTTCAAGTCTGGTCGGATCATTGGTAGGAGAGCCCCACGGGAGCCTCCTACTACCTTTGTTTTTGTCAGTCGTTAAAGACATGTACCCCACGGGAGTACCGGATTACCCCCTAGATCTAGCCTGTAAGTCAACAGAGAAGGCGCACGGCACCTTCCCGTTACCAACGCCGAAGTCAAACAGACATTCCATCAAATTGTCACTTTAGTCAGATGAATGGCAGGGTAACTTAGCACGGCGAGTACCCCGTCATCCATCTTAGTTAGCTTATGCAAGCAGTGTGACGACCCTACGAGAGCCTCCATCACACGGTTTTGTCTCTCAAACCAAAGCAAACTAGGTTTCTTATCGGTTCTCCTAGGTTCCTTCCTTTCATCAGGCAGGGTTCTTACTTCAATCGTATACCCTTTTTCATTTCGATACACTTTAGTCCTGAAGAAAATACAAACAGTATCTAACACACCCATACAAGCAATCCAGTAAAAGGTTGTAACTTGTATGAGTATACGAAAACGAAATGAAACATGCATACCTTATGGTTCCCTGCCTCCTGAGTTCCTCCTAAACTCCGACAGAGCTCCCGCGATCGCCCTGTTGTCTCCGCATGTTTGATCATCTTTTTTCATAGAGTAGACTTTTCATTCAAAGTACCATTTCGGATAGTTTGTGAAAACAAAGGGAAGTGAGGGGATTAGATCACGGGAGAATGGGGAAGGATGGGGGAGGTAGGCACCATCACATAGTGACGATGTCTCTCTCCTCTCCAGTGCCCCATACTTCTCAAATCTGATCTTTCCCACTTCCTTTGATATCAATCCGTCAATCAAGGAACCGCAAGATGATGCCTAAGAATGAGAATGACAATAACTATCATAATGAATCTGATCTTTCTCACTTCCTTGGATAAATATGGAGAAGAGAAAAATGAATGGTTCAGATCAAAGGAGAAGGGAAAAGGATGGAGGAGGTATGCACCATCACACGGTGACGGTGTCCCTCTCCTTTCCAGTGCCCTGCTTCCTCTCCTTCCCTGACTCATGATGCTCAATATAAAAAATAATCACAAATACTTAATAATAAATAATAATAATAATAAATAATAATATTATTATTAATAATAATAAATGTAAGGAATATGATTGTGAACGACATATAGAAAACCAAGTTGCGAAATCAATGGATGTCTGAGCTAATCATGTATGAGTATAGAGTACGAATGCATCAAATAACCATCCAAATAGAGCAATATAATGAAGTAATGAGCCAATGTTCAAGCCCGCAGGCCACACCAACATAGTAAAAGTCGACTTTCCTGTCTGACACCCAGCGCCTATCCTACCCTAGTCGACTATCCTACCTGCAACTACGTTCATGCAATAGGCTCACTTCGACACTCAAAGATCAATGTTCGCGATGTCAATCTTCATAGCCGACCTCTCTTCATGCACTACGTACGTATCTCGCCCTTTTTTCTCTCTCTCTTCCTTTCTCTGTCTCTCTCTTACTGTGTGTATGTATATCTGTACCACTATGTCTGTGTCCTTGTGTATCAACATCATTTGTGTTTTGTATCACTTGTGTATGTATGTGTCACTTTGTCCCTGTATGCCTGTTGTCTGTGTATGTCCATATCTCACTGTCTCTTCCCTCTCTCTCTTCTCTCTTATACACACACACCCAGACACAGATCGAGAGATCACACGAAGTCCACACCGGACCCGGAGATGCAAAGCCTAAATGTGCGCAGCTTAGAAGTCCCATCAAGATGCCATACTTAACAGCGTCGGAGATTCGGTCATCAAGCGATCAACAATGTAAGATGCAGTAACCCACATCCCTGCCTAAGATAGATGACTTTCTTCTCTCCTAGCTCAATCTCTCTCTCGCTGTGTTCGTGCGTGTCTGTCTGTTTTTCGTTTTGTCTGCCAGTCGGACTGACTGTCTGTCTGACGGTTTGTATGTTTAGATGTATGTCTGTGTGTCTATTTTTTGTCTGTGTATCTGTTTGTTCTTGTTGGTCTGTCTGTCTGCTTATTTTTGCCTATATCTGTCTGTTTCTGTCTTGGTTATTTGGTCTGTTTGTCGGATCTGTCTATCGCTCCTTGTCTGCCCAGCTTGTCCGATTGTGTCCAATGGTTTTTCTATCCAACTGTGTCTGTCGAATTGTGTCTGTAAAATCTTTTGACCAACTGTATCTTTCGGAGCGTCTGCCCGACTGTCTCTCATCTCGTCTTGTGTAACTGACTGTATCTGTCTGCCTGTTTTGTCTGTCTGACTGTCGGTTTGTTCGTTGTCGATGTGTGCCTGTGTTGGTCTGTCTGTTTGTTTGTTGTCCGCCTGTCTGTGTTTGTTCTGTTCGTGTTTGTCTGTTTGGCATTGCCTGCGTCAGGTTGTCTGTTTGGCATTGCCTAAGTCAGGCTGTCTGTTTGGCTGTCTGTGTCAGTCTCACTGTCTGTGTATGTTTGTTTTTCTCTCATGGCCTGCGTCAGACTGTCTATTTGATTGTCTGTGTATGTTTGTTTCTCTCTTCTCTCCTCATACCCACACATACACAAACATACACTAATACTTCCACTTACTAACATGATCCCCATTGCCTCTATCAACCATATGGACTCAGAAAAACCAAAGGTGGAAAGAAAAACATTGCCAAACTTAATTTCAATTTGACTCTGCGAAAGGATCTGAGAGGCGGAGGATAGGTGGGAGCTTTTGCTGCAAGGGGATTGTCATCCAGGTACGTACCCGACTCCACCTTCCTCCTTTTCTTCCTTATTATTATTCCTTCTCCTCCTCCTCTTCCTCTTCTTCTTCTTCTTTTTCTTCTTCTTTCTCCTCTTCCGCTTACTATCTCCCCTGCTCGTTGCCGCTCACTTCACGTTTTGTGATCACGAGATGTCTGTATTTCCCGAACAACAGCTCGTACGAAGGAACCACCGACCGCGACGGTGAGCAGGAGAAGCAGGGTAAGGTTAAATTACTTCTAAAAAAAATAAAATCAACAATAATAATAATACTACAACAACAATAACAACCAACCGAGATAATAATAATAATAATAATAATAATAATAGTAATGATAATAATAGTAATAATAATAATAATAATAACAACATTAATATCAGTATGGAGGTAATGAATGTATACGAGCTATCTTCTTGGTCCAATACCGGCACAAGAGGTGACAGGGGGTCAACAGTGCAGGTACGTATATTTTTTTATTTTTTATTTTTTACTTATTTTGTTTTCTCCTCCCCTTTTCTGTCTTCTTGTTCCTTATCTCCCTTATCCTCGCCTCTTCGAACATTTCTCCCTTGCGTTCGTCTTCACGACGCTCAACTCTCTCGCACATCTCCCCCTCGCACTCTCCTATTCTCTGTATGATCGGACGTTTCCTTCCTCACGCTGCCCGCGATCTCCCCTCATGGCCACCTCGCGATGGCTTCTCTCCTTCTCTTGCTCCCTCTCTCTCTCTCTCCCCCTCTTTTACTCGGACTTCGTCCTGCTACGATCCCTTCATGCTGTTGTCCCGGCGCGATGTCTTCTTGATTCGTTTTTATTATTATTATTATTATTATTATTATTATTATTATTATTATTATTATTATTATTATTTTATGCTATCGATGAAAGTATCGTTAGGCTAGTCATGGGGTTGGAGACTTACCTGGTAGAACGCAACACGATCCGACAAAACGTGCAGCATGCCGGGACAGCAGCATGGGGAAGATGACAAGCACAGGCGACACTCGAACAAGTCGGGCGGACGATGGGCACAACGCTTATCCCAATAAGCCGGGTGATGACTGTCTCAACCTCACTTATCCGTCATATTTGCGCTCTCCCACTATAGCGCTCACCTTCTTTCCCGCCACGCTCTCCTTCCTCCTCCCCCTTTTTTCCTTCCTCTTCTCCCTCTCCTTCTCCTTCCTCTTCTTCTTCTTCTTCTTCTTCTTCTTCTTCTTCTTCTTCTTCTTCTTCTTCTTCTTCGTCGTCGTCGTCGTCGTCGTCGTCGTCGTCTCCCAGAGGGTCCATTAGTCTGCCAACATAATGGATATGCACAAATTTGTGAGCGGAGCCTTCCTTAGCCTTTAGCTTCTCCCACCGCTTTCTCCCGAGGGGTCCATTGACCAGGGATCCCTTGCATACCTGCATCATTTTCGACCACGACAAAATCCTGAGCAAGGTGCTCCTCAGTTATCGAAAATCGCCCTGTTGACATTCCGCTGATGCCCGATATTTCCTCCATTGCGTGCGGCCGGTAATCCGACCCTCTTCCCACTGACAGAGGTGATAGTGGATTCGGAAGGGGTAGCAACATCAGGCTTATCAGGTTGATCCGGAGGGGTCGAGTACATGAATCGATCCATAGTCCCGTGGCCCTCGATTCTAGCACGCTTACTTCCCGAGGAGGGTGTTACCTCATTTGCCCTAGGCCTTTTCTTAACATACTTACTCATCAGGAGCAGCTTAGCACATTCCTTGAACGCCTTCCGATTAACGTCATTCACCCTCACTAACACAGAGTCAATCGTCAGGGAGGGATTTGCAACAATCTTATTTGCAAGAAGCATCATTACCTCTCTCCCACATCCGAACGACAGAGAAGTCAGCATCAATGGTTTCCAACAGGTGGAAAGACACTTGATCAAGGAGGACACTTTCGCCCTCGGGGTTGGTGCATCCGGATAGAGAATGTCCATATTGTACAAAAGGAACCATATCACGTGATCAAACCATGAGGGGCCTGTCCCACAATCGGCCTTCCCTTCAGAAGAGCACCTACACTTCAGGTATGACCTCCCTATATTCCAAATCCTCTCCATCTCTGCTAACGCTGACGAATTCTGAGGAGGTTTATTCCCCTTGATCAGGACATTGGGGAGAGGCAGGGGGCACTTACCAACATCCATTGAGGACATGGGGGGGAGGAATATCCCATCCCCATTGAAAGGGAATTTGACCTTTGGCGGTGTAGTGTTCATGTCCAGCGCCCTTTCATACTCAGCCTTCATTTCCTCTTGGGTGAGGGATGCAAGCAATCTGTAACCCCTCTGATCAATCGGAGCAAGATAATTAAAGGTGTCAAGCAACCAAATCTTGCCAGAAAATCCCATAGACATTGTCTCTACCCAACTGGGAGAGGCACGGGGGAGGAATGCATTCCTCCGAACATTAGTGAAGGTTTTCTTCTTACTCGTCATATGACACACCCTAGTCCTTGCTACCTCATCATCCTTCTTCCTCATGTACTCCTCCTCTTCGGTCATCTCATCCTCCTCATCCTCCAATGCCACCTCATCAACAATCACAACCCTGCGCACCTCCTTCTCCTTGTGGAATTGCTAAATTTTGACAAACTTGACCTCCGCATCAATGGTGTTTGCATTTAGCGTCATATCCTCAACTTTCACTGCTTCATCTACAGCAGTTGTTGCTCTCGCCATTCTATTTAGCGTATCGACAAACTCATTCCTCCTATGTCGAGAAATGTATATTAATTCGGCTCAGTCATGAGCGAGAGATCCCTCCTTAACCTCAACAATCACTTGCTTTTGAGCATACTCAATCAGGGCTTGGGTAGGTCGGGAGGGAGGACGGAAACGTGCAAGTCATGCTTTGTCACCAGTAACAAGGTCCGGAATCCACAACACTTGAGGGGCAACAAAGTCCTGAAAACAGCGAATCATCGAACACACAACCCCATACCATTAGCCCATACGGAAGACAAGATGAAACTTCAATAAGCAATGCTAATCACAAAAGAGGAACTCTTGAGCCATATGGAGTACATCACATTCCACTCATGTGTCATGAGCGAGAGGCCATGGGTATCAACCATGTGAAAAAACCTCCACCAATGGTACTTCCCCTGAATGGAATTGTGGGTGTGAAGATGTGTGTAAACACATATTGCGGACGCCTCAGCATGTAACAGGTAAATGTTCCACCTCGCCATCACAGCACATAATGCACTCCACCAGAGATCCTGAAGTATTCCACATGCTCACATATGATTCATCTAGTCCATCCATAAAGCACATGTACAAGAGTACGTCGTTCTCAATTCATAGAGTACATCACCCATACAACCTCAGACATAGGGCCCATTTCACATACAGAGGGATTCGAGAAGGCATTCAAACCGATGACATATACATTGGGACACATAATAAAGAAATGGGTTTGCACAATCTCTCAAAATGAATCCTAGATTGGCTAGCAATCCATAGCAAGGATAACATGCTCATAGGCTCTCGTTATAAATGAAAGAGGTTATGACGCCCTCTGGACAAAATCTAAAGACCGAGAGGAATGAACATTGTTGATATCAACGATTCAGAAGATCAGGAGTGTTGTATACACGTGGGCGTACGTACAGGGGAACAAAACTACTAATTCAAGGGAGAAGGCAAGAAAGGGAAAACGGACGAAAGAGATTTCATAACAGTAGCGAATGGGGGAGGAACTGAGGGAGAGGAAGAATCTGATAGACGAACACGCTTCCAACAATCGAAGACGCTGGATGGACAAATCTTGAAAAAGTTCCTCTAGGAAAATATTCGTAAAACCAAATTTACACAAACCCCTATATTGACGAGTAAATCCTATATTCCCATTCGCAGATTCAAGGAGAACACCCATCAAATCACGAGTAAAGACCGAGGACGCACATGACCCCACCTAGACCAATAGTCGGGCGGACAACTTTACATCCCCCATCCCACACCCTCGCATCAAATGCATTAGGCCACACAGTTCCTCCCATCAGCCCTACCTCAATCAATTCATTACGAACAGCAGGAATCGCGCAATGATTCGGACAACGCTGCACAAAACATGGTATCTATACACCCCCCTCCCTTTGCATTACGATTCCGACCGGCTATACCTTATCAACAACATACGCTAATTTCACCGAGTTTTTTTGACAATACAACAAAAAGCATGGTCCACCATATTTGTACAATCCTCAACTCGAACTGAGTAAGAAGGGAGATACATCTTTACACCAGCTATTGCTCACACCGATCTCAATACCAGCATCTACTCCCACAGCCATGGTCGGAACTCATAATTACACATATTGAATTAGTATCCCATCATCATACTTTCGGACCCCTAGAAGCGCTCAGTACAATCACTCCATTAGACTCGCCACACCACACATGTTAACGACTGAAGTCGTCCATTGCTACGTCCGACGCCATCTTCTCACGCAGACACCCGAATTGCAGAGTCATTCGATGAGAGACAACTTTCCACAATTTGAAAGTCTTCAACTTCCACAAAAGTTAACGATCACTTTGGCAGCAACAATGACCGATCCCGCAGCTAGCATGTTAGCAGCAAAGCAGCAAACATTGCCTAGACACAGCAGGTAGAATCAAGTATAGACAACACCCACATCGCTACAACCACGAGCCAGAAGGAGAATACAAAAATTATTGAAAAGGGAGACAGTAGACTTCGCGGACGAAGAATATGGGGAAGAAGGACGACAAATAAGAACGATAAAGAGGATGAAGACGAATCATAGGTGGAAACGAAAAAAAGAGAAGGGGAATAGGAAGCATACTTCCAGGGAGACTCCCAATCATAACCTAACCCAAGCCATCATACGTCTTCCCCAAAACAAGAAATGAACATAGATACAGAGAGATGAAGCACGACACAGCTGGGAATCAAAGCGAAGGAACCAAGTCAAAGAAACCAAAGCGAAGACACAAAGCGAAGACACAAAGCGAAGACACAAAGCGAAGACACACAACATTGGTAAGTGCTTTCATAATTTCGCAATAGACAAAACTTTCAAAATAGATCTACATGTTTTCATAGTATTCTTCGATCACCAGGATTACCACACTGAGGGTAGGTGGTTGTTTAGAACATACAATCATGGCTAGGGTGGTGGCAAACATCCTGAAGCTTTTTGCTAGCCTTGCCACAGGCGTAGCTCATCAGAGGAGATAAAGAAGAGCACATGATTATAGCTTCATGCAAAAGTACCAGAGAACCATGACTAACTAAATTTTGTAAAACTGGTTAATTAACGGGTTTATCGTAAGTGGTTGATGACATCACCTCCGTTCGAGGTTCCACGAGATTAACCTCAACAAGGTGCTCGTCCAACATCTCCTCGAAGTTAAATGGGGACTCCATGGTCTTTCCGTCCGACTTTTCGTGGGCCCAAGGATATCGCTAACCTCGGAGAACAAAGGAGCATCACTCCCAAGGGACACGGGGAACACGAAATTTATAGTGTTGCTGACAACGCAACTGATAGCCTAGGCAGTGAGGGAGTAGGCCGAACAGACATTTCAACGGTGAAGGACGCCGTAAAGAAGATCGGGGCAATATGCATCACCGCGGTGTAGTTGGCAGTAGTGGAACGACCGGTGGAGAACAACCAGTTACCGCACGAGGGAAACGCAGTCCACACGTACGCCAACTCATTAGTGCTATCGGTCGAAGAGGACCAAGCTTATGCTTAAGTGTGTCTTAAGTACCTGTAGAGTTAATAGTAGCACGTGTTTTAGAAGTCTTCCAAAGAACAAATTATGGACGGCCTCAATTGAGACCATTCTCGTACCATATTTTGACGTCTTCGTTCTGAACCAGAATAATTACCTGTGGTCAGAATCATTTTGACCTCACAAAAAATTACACATAGCCTCCATTGTAGGTACCCACCACAGCTGGGTACCCCATTAAAGCCCCATCACCGACACTTGGTTTAAAAAAAAAAAACAATTTCTCACTGCTACCCCCATCAAGCCCACGGACGGGTCTTTCCTCAGCATTACACCTTGTCTTGGCATTTTTTCACCATTTTTTACGTTGTTTTTCAAACGTTTTCCCACAGATAGGAAATCTAAAAAGAGGCAAAGAAAATTAGTCGTTTTGACACACTAAGTAATTATATTTAGAAAAATAATCGTTAGGAATCATCAATATCCCCGAAGTCTAGTCTTACTCATCCCTTTTACCAATTGATTATTCACTCACCCATCATGCCATTACTACCCATACAGAAACTTTTGTTCAGGCTCAAAGTCTTTGTGTGTGTGTGTGTGTGTGTGTGTGTGTGTGTGTGTGTGTGTGTGTGTGTGTGTGTGTGTGTGTGTGTGTGTGTGTGTGTGTTTGTGTGTGTGTTTGTCTATGTGTGTGTGTTTGTGTGTGTGAGTATCATGTGTGTCTGTGTCACATAGAGTATTTGTTTTTTTTTCAAAGTCGCGTGTCATCCCCCTGCCCGGCATACTTCGGACTTGGATCTTTATCATGCATCACCACACAGTAAACCTGCACCCCCTAAAAAGTGTCCATGAATTTTTATTTTTCCTAATAAATAGTTAAATCACCACTGCCCCCACCTTCTGAAATTCGGGGGGACTGGTAGCACAGATTCATAAGGGCTACGGGTAGCAGAGTGAGGAGAGTTGGCAAACGACAAAAATGTACATGCATCGAATTGCTGCCGTGATTTTTTTTTGCAATTGAAATGATTTTTTTTAATTCCTTAAATATTTTTTATGGAAGATCACGTCGAAATTTACATATCCTTTCATTTTCATATTTCTTGACGTTTTGCTTTCGACGCGAAAAATCGCTGAAGTTGTGGTAGTTTTCCCTTTGGGCCACACGTGGTGAATTAGCAGGCATGAGAAATGAGATGATTTGGCGCGACATTTATTTTAAGATCTTAGATTTTTTTTTTAATTTTTAAATATTTTTCCTGGAAAGATCTCAACCAATTCTACAGACCTTCAATTTGTAGAGTTCTGGAGTCATCAGTCTGAGCACAAAAACTCGCGGAAGTTGGGTTACTTTTTCCGTTGGCCGACACGTGACAGAGCAACAAAAACCACCAAAAATGAAATATAGGAAGAATTGGTGCGACGTTAAATCACGATTTTAAATATTTATAGGAAGAATTGGTGCGACGTTAAATCACGATTTTAAATATTTTTTTTTAATTTTAAATATTTTTCGTGGACAGATCACGACCAAGTCTGCAACCCCTTCAATTTTCAGAGTTGTGGATTCATCCTTGTGAGCGCAAAAAATCGTGGAAGTTGGGGTCATGATACTTTTCCCGTTCACCAACATTGTCAAGTACCAAAATAGAAAAAATGGAGAATGCAATGAAACGACGCAGTATTTATTTCACGGTCTAATGATATTTTTCCTGGAAAGATCACAACCTAATCTACAGGATCTCAATTTTTCATATTTTTTCTTCTATTCGTATGAGCGTGAAAAATCGCCAGATTTTGGGCTTGAAAATTGCGAGACTGGACCCGCCTGCCACACTGTGCAACGTTAGGGTTTGGACACATAGACACATCCTGACCTGCCAGTTGCCAAACGTCGGATACACTTCATAAAGAAGTAGTCCCCAAAAACACACAGGAACCAAGTCGACCTGAGTGGTTATCAGATCAGGCAGTTACGTATCTCAAATCAGTATGTGGGTTTAAACCCCGACAACAACCATTGGCAGCGAATTTCATAATCTTAATATTTGTGCGTGTGTGTGTGTGGGTGGGTGGTCTGTGTGTGTGCAGGCGGCGGGTGGGTGGTGTGTGTGGGTATGTGGGTGGTGGTGTGTGGGTATGGGTGGGTGTGGGTGGGTGGGTGGTGTGTGCGTATGGGTGGGTGGTGTGTGCGTATGAGTAAGTGCTTTGTGGTGTGTATCTGTGTCAGCAGACCGGTGGGTGCAGCTGCCTGCACCCGCCCCGATGCCTTTTGCCGGAAAACGACCTCCGCGCGACGAAAATAAAATAAAAGCAGGAAACGAAAACCATAACGACGACGAAAGATTGGTCAGCAAAGCGACCTTCGCGCGACAAAAAAAAAAAAAGAAGCGGGAAACGACAAACGAAAACCACAGCGACGACGGAAAACAAAAAAATTAAAGAAAAAAACTTTCACACGACGATAGCAAATAAAAGCGCGAAACGACAAACGAAAACCGTGACAACATGAAAGAAAAAGAAAAAAAAGTGGAAAACAACGACCGAAAAAGAGAAAGAAAAAAAAATCCGTGCCGATCGCTTATTGACGGCGGGCGCTTCAAGATATTCACTCGCATCTACGCCCGCCGTCGCCTGGCCCCGTGGGCGCGCTCTCTCGTTTAATGGCGCGTAGTGAACATTTCGGTGCGTGCGCCCCTCTGCACACTCCCCCGCCCTGGATCGCCTTCATCTACCACCCCTTGTCAAAACTTCGACCCCGAATCCGGCGCGCAGCTGACCATCGACCTCCCCCGCGGCGATTGTTATTGTTATTAGGGATAATTTGCAAAATACCCCTATAAGTTAAGAAATATGCCAAAATGCCCCTAAAAGATGTGGGTAGACTGGAATACCTTTCTTACACAAAAAATGTTCTGCGAAATGCCCCTGGTGGCAGTTGGATCTGTCATCTTTGCAAAATA